GAAGACGTTTACATGAATACCCTTCGAATAATAAGCTTTCGAAAATTGTGAAATTACTGATTAAAAGATTGTTTTGGGGACGCGCGTCCCAAAAACAAGAAATTACAATACATTTCATAGTAAATATCACGATTTTCGAAAGCTTATTATTCGAAGGATATGTAAACGTCTTCAAACTTCGTATACTGACTAATTTTGAGGTGCTCTTTTAGAGTGGCTCGATATTGCAAATACCGAATACCGATATACTGCCATCAGAATACCGGTAAATACCGGTATTTTTAACGTGTTTTTTTTTAAGCCAAACTGAACTGCTGACCGTCGAGAAAAATAAGTTTTGACAAAATATTAATGTGGCACATACTGTTATTAGTGCAAGTGTCACAAGATTCGCATTATCAAGCTATGTTAACGGCGCTAAGCGGCAATTAGTGTTGAATCTGCGAGCATTCACTTTGCTTTCTAAACGTGATTGTAAGCGAGTTTGACTTGAAATAGCGTTTCAATTCGGTATTAGGCAGCAAAATACCGAAATGTCGGTATATCGGTATTTTTAAATTGTCAATATCGCCAAACCGGTATCTAAACAAATACCGGTATACCGGATACATCCGGTATATCGATCCACTCTATGCTCTTTTTAGTGATTTGGTTCATTTCTTAATTTGGGCACTTTTTAACACTCGTCCCCAGTCCACTCATCAACTTCGAAATGGCTAATTGGCACAGACAGTTAAGACATTATATCTTTGTTTTCTCCTGCAGGCAATCTACCAAGTGAGCCAAGTTCATATGTTGAACATGCCATTATTCAGGTACTCCAACCTGTTATCGAAGGTGTTTCACAGCTGCCACAAGGTCTTCAGAATTCCATCTTGATTCAAGCCGTGGAAATCATGATGGACACGTGGAGTAGTTATATTTTGAAGGAACAGATTAAGTTCAGGTCTGTGTAAACTTTTGACAATAGTTTGACCATGGATGATAAAATGAATGGATAGGACTCTAGCTGACGTCACAGTCTAAACCTAGTTGCACTCTGTGACGTCTCACGTTGCCAAAGTTCTTGGCTTTTTTGTTGTTTCGCTATATTTTCCGCTTTAAAAGAGTAATATTGAAGCATAAACTGGTCTAATTGTTTTAAAAAACATGCCTAAGCCACGACAAAGTATTCAAGGTAAATGTTTTTCGTCTTTGTTTTGTATGTTTTTACATTTGTAGCTACGAAATTGGTGTCCCCAATTTTAATGAAATTTGGGATGCAATTTTCACTGTTTAGTACCTGAAATATTTGCTAAAATTGACTGGAAATACTTAGAGATTTCATCATAGAATGGCGTAGTTATATTTATTTGCTCTTTGACTAAAATGTTTAGCTGTATTATTGCTAAACATGCCGTTTTTGAGAATTTGTTTTGCAACTAGGTTTCCAACATCCAACCACGCCATCAGCCCATTGAAAACATTAGGTCACGTCAGCTAGTTTCCTATCCATTTATTTTATTATCCATGGTTTGACAATGGTCATGGTGTTCGGTCAATTCGTGTGCTATAGGAGAAAATTTAATTTTCAGCGGTTTCGCATAAAATATAGAATTGCTCAAAGATAAATTTTGTTACAAAGGTGCATATTAAAATGGACATTTCTGTTGAAGGATTGTAGATGGACATTTCGAGCAGAAGATTGATATACAATTTTTAGCCCTAACCAGGGGCCAACGAGTCGATCAGTTGACTTGTGGTTAATGCAGGGTCTTAGCTAGGATTTTAGGTCTTGGGCGTGTTTCTAATGACCAGGGTGTGTACATTTCAATTACTTAAATAGCCAAATTCACGGTTCTAGTTAAGCTCGCCAACAACAGACAATGCCTATGGTTGTTCTACTGCATGTATGCTTTAAGGCGAGCATACGCTCATATTGCGCACTGACATTAAAATATTAAGTTATTTCAGCAACTCTTGGGGGTATTTAAAACCATTTTAACACCATGCAGTTCCCGTTATCCGTCAAGATATTAAAACTGGATCGCTTTTGCCAATTTCAACAACAACAGTAGATTTTACAAATTTTCTGACGACGTAAATTGGAAGAAATTCTGTCTGTTGTAAGTACTGTAGCAACACCTTATTTTATGAACCTACACGGCCTTATATAAATAATGAAGCCGCGTTCATTTCATCTAGCCGTGTTTTTCTACTTTTGGCCGCGATAACATGGCCAACACGGCCCTCTAGCCCCTGGGTTAATGGTAACTGGCTATAGCTCAGTTGGTTTGAGTACTGCATTTCTTCATGAGCGCCAATGTACTTGACCAACCAAAAACGGGTCGTGTCCGAGCTTTGACCGGATAACGTGACCGCCGCTTGTCCGGCCTTTATTTCATGCCCTGAAAACGGCCCGCTTCAAGGCATGAACAACAGAACAAGGAACTACTGTGTCAGTAGTGGGGCGTCGGTGGCGAAGTGGTTAGCGCACTTGCCTTTCGCCTCTAAGGTCTCGTCTTTCATCTCAGTGAGAACTTTCTCAATGCGGCTCGAACCCAGTCCTCATGTGAAGAGTAGAAGTCAACGCTCTGCCGAAAGTCGTGGGTTTTCTCCGGATATTCCGGTTTCCTCCCACAGGGAAAGTTGACAGGGTGGGTTAGGTAAAAAGGCCTACAGTAATATACCTTTCCCCTTTTGAGTGAAATTTTGATCTAGACAAGTCTGGACAAAGATTTCATCACAGCTTGAAAGAGCATCACAAAATTAGTAATATTCCGAAGTTTCGTTGCGAAATGTTGTAAAATGCGGATAATATAGCCTTGCGAAGTTGATAATCAGATGATCAAACTGATTATCAATTTCCCATTTGTAATACAAAAGGACTGAAAATTGCAAATTTCGCAGGGCTATATTATCCTCATTTTACAACATTTCGCAACGAAA